GCTGTTGTCTTCAATACATCTTCCATGGCTATAGATCGGATCGAAGCACGAATGTGCTTGTCCCGCTCACGGATAAACTTGTATCTGGCCATGTAATCATGCTGACTTGTTGCAAAACCCCGGAAGAACTTCTGCGCACAGTGATTAATACTTGAACCCTCATTACAACACTGGCCATGGCAGCATTTCGGATCAACACCATCCTCATCGTTTTCTAAACAGATGGAGAACGCAGAGGCGTATCGATGCGTCCCCAGGAACTGTCGCAATGCTATTCTTTCACGATGGGGAATGAAGTATGCCGTAACAAAAGCAGACGATGCTAGAGAGAACGTGAGCGTTTGTGGGTTGAATGAGACGTTGTTACACGGGCAGTAAAGAGTGAGTATAGCTTGACTGAAGAATCGTCGGCGACGATGCCTGGGGTTGCGAAGAACTTCCGACGCTCAGGAGAAGTCGTTCCATTGATCTTGTCGATATGAGGGACGTATCAGTTCGTCGTGGTGTACCTGCGCGTTCGGCTGCGGGTGGGTTGAGTGTCTCGCATTTCCATGCGCAGGAGACGCTAGCAGAAGTTCCCCAAGTGAGGAGTTGATCATATTCATGAAACCGAGCAGATCTTGAAAGAGGCAAGCATTACTCAGATTGAACTTCGCATCCGTTAGCACTAAGTCTAAGCTGGTCATTCAATCGTGGAGAAGGAGAAGACCTCGATCTACCAATTACAATTTCGTAGTGCTACTGGAGACGCAACTTGACATATGTACCCGTTTTGTTGTCATCCCTCACGGCCTCTGTGCTACCCATCTCACTCATAATCCATGTCCTTATCTTCATCCTCAACCTTGACGACTTGTCTACTGTGTCAATCACGAACCTTCGTCACACCAGTGCCCGCACAATACTGCCGCATCGACTCCTCGGGACGCACAAGCTACTAGCAACATCGCTGCGCCGTACTACATCGACGTCATCTTCACTTTGGCCATGAGTAGCGTGGGGACGTCCAGCTGCAACTACGTCCATGATGACCTGAGAAGGCATTGACGGAGCCCGATAGGATGACCTGGCGGCGGACATGGAGGCGACATACGTGGTGGTTGGCAGGAACACGGGATGGCAGGCCTGTGTTGTGGTCCGTATTGATGGTCCAGGGCTGCGATGGAGAGTGATGCGACGGTATTCATGGCGGAATGGACGGTCCAGTTGGGTTGGGACCTGATCGAGTTGATGCACCGCCCATAGCCGCGATGCCAAAGTGCGACGGCAAGGGCTCCATCACATCCTTAAAAACGACGTTTGGCAAATCCACGTATATCGCATCCTTTGAGGTTGCCGTAACCGTCCCGTTTTCCATGCACCATGATATGGCGGAATCCTTCAAACGCCACTTGTATATGTTCTTGTTCGAAGAGGGAGACCCAGGATGACCGTATAAGAAGTTTGAATGCTAGGTAGCGACTGCGGATCGGGTACGATCGTACGTATAGCTCATCGATGAGAGCGTCCGGCAATGCCATTCGAAGACATGCTCGTGATTCCGCCTATCTCGCCTCCGGCTACGTGTTGAGCTCCATGTTTTACGGAGCGAGGGTGCCCAGGGACTGGAGAGGGAGAATCGGCTGAGGGCGAGCAGTCTGGCTGCAACAAAGTGGGAGCGTCAAGTTGTCGTCGCTTGAGCAGCGCTGAGGCGGGCGGGGTGTTGGTGGGGTGTAGTATCGGTATGAGCGTTCATATGTAGCGAGGACGTCTAGTGGACCGTCTTGAGGTCGAATGCGACATCGGCGATATTTCGGCAATGCTCGTCGTCACTGCCTTGCCAAAGACAAGCGGCATGTCCTAAGGTGTCGTGTCAGTCGCGATAGAAGCAGCTTTGGGGATAGTGAGGTGAGCGTGTACCTTTGAACGTTCAGAATATTGCGATACCGCTCGCATTATATAGTGATGTAATGCGTGTAGGGTAGAGCGATTGCGCTGTGGCTGTCTCTTGGGCGTGTGTGAATGTATCGTAAGGCTGGCGGGGGCTGCTTGAGGCGCCGACGCACTCCTCCAAGGTTGACGCGTGCGGGGCCTTGGCGGCTACGTCAAACGGGCGGGCAAGCGTGTACAGGAGAAGGACTGCCCAAGCTCTGGCTGCGGTGAGGGCGAAGGCAAGTCATCATGGAGGAGGCGATTGTGTGGGAGTGCAAGTAGGGGTGGGTGGTTGGGCGCGTCGCGGTGCTGGCAGTCGCGTTCCGGGTGAAGGTCGGGTGTCGTTCAGGTCAGCTGAGCATGTCGTCTCAACGCAGTTTAGCCGTGTAGAAAAGGCATAGGGCAAAAGAGCCGTCCGAGTTGGAGTGCAACATTGTCGTTGAATTAAGCCTGCGCCGGACGCGCGACGCCTGCCAAGGGTGCCAGCGCCCCAACCTTGGGGTTAGCGCCCTTGTGCGCCAGTTCCCCCGCTCAAGAGATCCTCCCCAACAACCATCCGACATCTCAACACAGGCTAGCGGACACGGCCGCAGACTTTCGCACCCGCTACTCGTGGTGGACCGACTGTAATATGCGGTGCCATGTCGACTTTGTGGTCGCAATAACCTTTTGGTGGTATTCACCAGAGCTCACGCAAGTTGGTGAAGAAAGAGGGGAAAGAGTTGGAGAAGGGGCTCAGGATGTGGTGCCGGGTTTTAGTACGCCGCTTGGTACGAGCTATTTGAAGTACTCTTCCCGGGCTTTGAACATCTAGAGTTGCTGTCAAGACCAACTTCAGCCTGCCGTCTCTTCTCTCCACTCACATCCACCAGCACGTCGAGGCCGAGGCTCGGGCGTTGACGTCCGCCAGCATGGCCAGATCGATCAGGTGCTTGCTCATGTTCCGCGGTCTGTGCTCCTTGGCTGCTGGCCCTCTACTGATGTTTGCGTTTACTCCAACATGACGGAAGCGCGAATGTAGACGAGGCGCTGTATCTTTGGGAATTACCAAGAGATGAATGCTTGAAGGTGCCTGGCAGTCGACATTTGGAAGGCTTCGCTCTGGGGCTGGCTCGTGGAAACCTCAGCAATCTTGTGCTGTTGATATGAACTGATTGCATCACAAAGCCGCAGCCGCGCTGTCGTATCCCATGACTAGGATGCACGTATACTCGGAGTGGCTAAAGGCCTCCTTGCTGTCGACCCATTGTGCATGTGAGACATGATAACTTAGTCGGAGGATCTTGGAAAAATTTGTTGAGCTACTTTGGGTGCACTAAGATACCCTATTTTGTCTAGAACTTTTGTGCTCCTCGCCCATTCTTCACTGGCTGATGCTTCTCGGCCGTCTTCAACCTGCCAATACATAATCATAGGACACCCGAATCCATGGACTGTTAATTTCATGCCGGTCGGGACTGCACCCTGTTCACCTCATCTTAAGGCGCTCCTCAGATCCGGTATCAGACGTCTCCGTATGACTACTAATTATCGAATAGACTCTAGGGGGCATATAAAGGCGCTTTATTTGCACTGTCTAACTCTATGCCATCAAGCTATTCGTGGATGACTTCGAAGCTCTTCTTCATCTCCTCTTCTCCGCTATCAAGGCTACTCTCGCGGATCATTTGGGCGATATACCGGCTTGGGATAGTGGTGTTGGTTCGACTCTGGTCGCCATGAGTCGAGCGGCGGTGGCGGGATTGGCGTATATCTTCCGAGTCTTGGTTTCCTTGACGAGGCCCTTGCCTCATAATGCCAGTCTGCATGGCTGGTCCAGTACCTGGGTCCCACGATGGCTTCGTTTGCGGCGGTCCAAGACTGTGAAGTGTGCTGATGATTTGCTGGGCACCTGGTGCTTGTCCTTGGTCGAAGAACACTTCTTGCAAACGAGCCGACAACGTACGTCCTTGCGGTTTCTTCAGTTGACGCCCCGACACGATCGACGACGTTTGACTGATAACGTCTAGTGGATGTGCTTTTAAATGGCTGAGGTCGTGTATAGTTTGCATCTTGCCCGTATAGTTGGGAGAGTGTGCCGCGTGCGTCCCGACTCGCATGGTCGGCTTGGACGCTCCTTGTTTACATTTGATCATCACCCATTATTCTCGCTTTGCCTCGCCGCGACGAGTATAGACGGTGGAGATGGGGAAACTTGGGCAATTGCAAACGCTGAATGCACACGTTAGCCACCCAGATCGGGTGAGGTGAACGCGTCCCTACGTTTCGCGTGGTCACGCACCTGCCGAAAGCAAAGTCGAGGTGAGTGACGGTCGCTGAAAATATGTGCTACAATAAGATGAGCTTGTGTGAATTGATCAATGAATGGAAGCAACATATCTTCCGTAGTTGAAAAAGCTTTATCGGGATAGCGAGGTGGCAGTTCTCGCCGAAGGTGTGGTTGATTCAGACCAGATGCTTGTGACACGGACAGTACGGGCGTGGGAACGTGAGTCGATGGGATGGTAGAGGTTGGAGGTAAGATGAGTACTTGGATATATACATAGGAGGTGTATCCCGCAAGCGGGAGACCGCCTCTAGGGTCGATAAAGGTAGATGGTGAGAGAAACGACGTCAGTCTATGTGGACAATCGAATCTCCTGTTGCACCATCCGCTGCGCTTCTTGTTGTACACATTGGTCTCGCTCCTAGTAAACATGCGCATGCGGCACGTCAACTTGGTCGACAAAACTCAGAGTTTGAAACTCTATTTGACTGCTTTTGGTACGTGAGATAAGGTAAAGTGACTTATGCACTACTATTGAAGCTCCTACAGGTTCCAGCCATTGTCCAATTTGCATCTCGTGCTTGACACACCCCCGCCACAAACACCATGAAAGTTCCAGAAATGCACCTTTTGTTGAATTTTGTGTACTCCTCAGGAAAGTGAAATGCGGTGGATGTCACCAACTAAGATTGATCACCGTAATAGAACTCAGTCGATGCCCTTTGTGCATCTCATCGCCCCGTTGCTCCTCAGTTCCATCCACTCGTAAAATCACTTGCCGTATGGCGTTGATATTAAATCTCTCCGTATGCTTACTAGCCCGCTAGTAAGCTAGTTGGTGGCTTAGCAGGCGCTTGGTTGTACCCACCTAGCAGCATCTCGTTTATCCAACGACGGACGCGTTTAGTAGTCTCAATCTCTTCATCCCTGTGATGGAAGCTACCCTTGCTGATGTTCCGGCTATCATTTTCATAAGGACTACTGGCATCGTCTCGCATCTCGTAACCATCGTCTGCCTGGGTACGGTGGTGGTAGCGGGGGTCTTTGACTGCCATACGCGGGTTGCCGGGGGTCTTGCTGTCCTTCTGGTCGAAACCGTCGGCCCGCTTGCGCGTTGCGTCCTTCCTGGTGACTGTCTCGACCTTGCCTCTCGCAGCCTCGCCCGTCGCTCGGGCAGCACTACCAGTGGCAAAGGCATTGTTTGGGAATAAGTGGTGCGAGGACACGTGAACTCGACGAGGTGGACGCTGGCCGCCGTCCCTTTCGGGTTGATCCTGCTGCATCGTGACAGTTTACCGACGGGCGCGCAGGTTCAGTCCTGTGACTCCCCTTCCACCGTCGACCTTGCTGGAATAGTAGAGGCGGGCCGCGTTCTTGAGCTTCCAGGATCCTCGGTCGCTGGAGGGTCGCATTAGCAAGTCACGTTAGATAAGCATGATGAAGACGTACAGCTTGTGTCTGAGGTCGCTACAATGACCAATTCGGTGGTGAAATAGCGGTTGGGGAGTTTCGGATAAGGATATAAGTCGTGCCGATATGTGTGCTGAATGACAAGGCATGCGCCGCACGCGAGAGATGGCACATTGGCACGATGATAACAAGTGGTGTGAGAGAACAGTGCCAACCAGCAACAGAACTCCTCGCTACACATCTTTTCGCGATCTCGATTGATCACAGCAGGTGAGAGACGGCCTTGTAGTCTGGGCCATGTATTTGCCAATATGGGACAGGATTCGGTGCGCCGTAAGACTCTGATACTGAATCGAAGCTGAAGCCTCACTCCAAAGAAGTCCGCTCGATGGGGATATGTCCATGGGTATGTTCGGGCCGTGAATTTTTGCCCAATTTCAACCAATGCCTCGCTGTCAGCCATTGGTCAGCCGACCCAAGGCAGCCATTCACTTTCCAAACCAGCAGACGCCCGGGGCCAATCATTTGGTGACTCTGATAGCCCGGAAACGGGCACTATCTACTTCCCCTTCAACCAGCCCACATCGAGGGCCAGAGCAGTGTACAAATGGCATGGTTGGCCAAGGCTAAATGTCACCAAAAGATTGCATAACTCGATGGAACAAGACAAAGCCCACTTTTCAGAAACTTATGGAGACGATGAAGACGCTGGAGACGCTGGAGAAGCTATGGGAGGGGCAATTCGACATGGCGGAGGAGTGGAGAGCGGTCAACGATAGCAGCAGCAGTGCCCAACGTACTTTGCCATATGTTTTTTCGTCATGTCTGGGAACAGCTCTTGGGCGGTTAGGAAGTTCGATAGAAACGTTTCTTTCGTGGTCAAGCGTTTAAGAGCTAGAGGCCTTCACCACCTGTCCTTAGTTGCATTCGGGATCAGCTCTTCAACACGACGGGACGTGAGCCTACGCCAGCTATGCCGCCAGCTACGAACGACAAGAGGACTGCTGCGCAGATGCATGGTAAACGCGCTGTAGGCCGGTGATGTCGGGCCTGCTGAGACGCGTTTGGGAATTCAGCGAGCAGGGCGGTGACGTTTATAGGTGTGCAATCTTCTTAGTATCGACGCAATCCTCGCCCCTCTGGCTAACCTCTGCTCGTAGTGGGAAGCCTCGGAGCGAGTGCTCGACGCGGTACCCGCATAGCTATCTGGCTGAGTATACGTTGACTGAGTTCAGAACAGATTCGATCAGGATAGCGATGATAACGTCTATAAAAATGTTCACTTTGTTGCTTCAAATTAGGGGTGTCATAGCAGTCATAAGAGCTTGTCTGAGGCTCATCGTGACGAAGCGGGACAGTTCACATGGACTCTGCGTTGGCTTTCGGTCTGTAAACCGTATGCCACTCAACCAAAAGCAACGTCAAAATGCGACAGTATGATACAACTGTAAAGGAAAGAGATCGCTGCCAAAGATGCCGGAGTGGGTAGCCGCGTATGCGCACTGCTCGAACTGGGGGCCGCGGTCTGCAGCGCTGTGCTATGTCGCAAGCGGCCAACAACTAGTAGCGAGGTGACGATATCAATTTTCGATCAAGATGGGTCTTTTGGTACTCCCGTCGGAGGGCCGAGAGAAGGTGACGATGTCGTAGGAAGCAGGAGGTGGGATGATGTGGTGATGCACGTAGAGGCGCCAAGCCCTGCCCATTTCAACGTCCACCAAGCCGAATGTCTGCAGTACTCTTCCACCCGACCCGACCCAACACCAGCTGAACTCTTCAGGTTCGCGACGGCACCTCTCGAAAGACGACCGCTTCTCTGCCCGGATAAACCTCGCTTATCATTAGATCTCGGCGGGCCCTTGGCGCGTCCATCCGCAAAGCCAACGATGTCGCAACCCACGAGAACGCGCCGCACGACAAAACTTACGACTTTGCTACGCCAGCCGATCGACTATCCGCGCCCCAGAGCTTCTCCAAGCGGACACCGCCGACACACATCCGGCTGCCTACAGTGCGCATACGAATGACGGAAACCGAAGGCCTCTTCACTCTCCACCAGCCCAGCCCAGCCACCCACTTCCCACGGCCAGCAGACCCCAGAGGATCCGGCACCCAGCGACGCGCACGTCTCAGGCTTCAACGCCTTCCCTGCCCGACTCTTCGCGCCGCCGACGCGTCGAGTGGCGCCTCGGAGCCCTCAGACAGACAACCGGCCGTCAGGGTGGCCGGGGCGGTGATCAAGACTGGCCCGTGAAGCTACACATGTCCAAGGGCGTCGTGCAGAGGGCGGACGGCATGTCGAGCAAGCACGCCGTGCGTAATGGGCAGGCTGCGAGCAACCAAAGATCGTTACGTCATCTACCCGTTTCTCGTATGGGCCGCATTGTGAGAGAGTCTCATCGTGGGTTGCCATGTCCTCAATCATCTCATGTCTGACCAAGTCTTTTGCTGATGTTAGCGCCGAATTCCGTCGCTTTCCCCCTCAAGTAGCGCGACCAATGAGCTTGACGATCACGGCGCCATAGACACCACAGTCTACACGGCAGCTCATACGGCGGTTCACACAAGACACCGGGCAAGTCGATGCCTACCAGCGACTACTGTGTGGTGGCATTGCCGGCGTCACCCTCAACTACCCTCGATATCGTTCGAACGCGTCCATCCATCCAGTCCGCATCGTTTTCTGATCTCAAGAAGGAGGCTGACTAGAAGCCACCGGGCATTTGGGCGCTCCTCACAAACATATGCAAGACCAAGGGTGGATTACTTCCTATCGTGGCAGGTGTCGCATCTAATGGTGCCCACAACTGCGTCGCATTGGATTGGTGGAGGTTGTGCGCGAGAGTCCCCCGTCCCTTGATGAGCAACCTGGTTGCGGCAAAGGAAGAGGGTCTGGTCGGGTAGCTAATGGCTTTGCACCGGAAGCTCTCAAGACACCGTGCGGCGCCATCACATATAAATATCGCGGTTTATCAAACACCCCTATACTTCGTGGCCAACGCTCTGGACGCACCGTCTGCTCCTCAGGCCCCATATCAGGATCGGGAAGACAGGCATACAACAATCGTAACGAGTTCGCCGATCTTGTCCCGCTGCTCGCCGCTGCAGCCACATAACACACATCCGGGCCGACCGAGAACGACGCATTCCGAAGCACACCATATACGCGATGAAAAGAGTCACCAACCGCCCAAGCCTATCACTCTGTCGCTCCTACGAATTATAGGGGCAATATGGCTCCAGCAAAGCGAGAGGAGCAGACCAAGCACCTGGCTCATGTTCCTCCACTACTAACGCACATGAACGTGCGCCATCGGTTTACACATTTTGAAGTGAAGCAGGCATGAAACCAGACTCCTGTCCCATTGACTCCGCACACGAACCTTACCGCCTCCACCTATCAAGCCGCACACAGCATTATCTCCACCAGCATGGACGCACAACAGTATCCTGAACGTCGCTGCTGCTGATGCTCGGGTGTGTACGGCGATGCCACACCAGGATTCGGGTTCTTTCCCTTCAAGTGGCGGTCTATCGGATGCGCAAGTCGATGCCTCCATGTCTTGACGCCTTGTGGCCCGCGGGCGTCACAACCGGATCGTATGTGCATGCAAGCCGAAGCGGTGAGGGGCGTGTCGGGCTGAGGCCGCCGAAAAGGAAGGATACAGCTGGTTTGGGGAAGCTGGATTTAGACGGACGAAAGATGGAGTGGAAATATAGACGATGAAAAAGAAGGGCAGGAGAAGATGTACACGGACAAGGGCTAGAGATAAGGAGTGCAGGCCTAGGTGTAAAGGAAGAGGCCGAAGATGACTAAAAGAGATAGTAAAGAGAGTGGTGAGAGTAAGGATGAAAAGAAGGGTAGCGATAGCAAGATGAAGTCGCTGGTAGAAAGAAGGGATGGAAGTTGTTGCGGGTGAGTAGTGCAAAGACATGGCGTGAGAGACGCTGGTGGAGAGAAGGGTCAGATGTCGAATAGAAAGAAGCCTAGTGCTAGTGGGAAGCAGAGTAGTCCTGGTGAGAAGAAGGGTGATGCTCATGCGAGGAAGAGCTGAGAGTTAGAAGGGAGAATATTAGTATTAGTAGGAGAACTAGCGAGAAGTTCGAAAGAAGAGTGGTACTAAAAGAGTACAAATAGTGAATGGAGAAAGAGTCAGAGGGTGAATTGCAAGAAGGGTAACGCTGATAAAAGTGGACTACATGAAGAGGATAGGACGTTGATTGTGGATTGATGATATTACGATCAACGGGCTCTAGGTGGAGCCTGGGCTATGGTTTACAGTTGCCCACGACCTCCGTTACTGAAAACAACAGCTCCTCCCCCGCATCTCACGGACGGCGGATACTGCGCGGCTCGGACACGATGGAATGGGCAAAGAGCTAGTCAAACGTATCTCCGCCAGGCATGTCAGAAGACTGAATTCGGCGATGGATGCCCTTCCGCGAGCCTTTCTGCGAGCCTTTCCGCAGGCCCTCCCCTGACGTGAGCCTCATCATCAACCCGAACCTCTCCAAAACCCGCGCTCCTCTAGTCTCTCGTCGAATCCACGAGCAGTGAGAGCTGTTTCCGAATCCAACAAAGGAATACATGGCGAAGAGCCAATGCATCAAGCGAGAAGCCAATGCCGCCCTAGACTGGAGGAATCGGGAGACATGCCAGATCTCCGGTCATCGAGCCATCTCTTTTCTGATATCGTGGCCGCCGCTCGCGCCGAGATTAGTCGGATGTTGGGCCAAATCGTCATGCGCCCCCTGTCTCCTGTACCAGCGCATCTCTAATGTTCGACTACCCAACTCAGTCGATCTTTCCTGGGTAGCAGCATTGTCCTCCCCTCCGTCCCCATCTTCGCCCAGAATGACTGTGTACCAGGTC